ACGATCCCTACAGGAAATTTTTCCTGTAACTTCTGGACAGAATCTTGAACAGAATTTACACTAATCGTCCCGGGACGATCCAGATCGGCCCGGACGATCCTGGAGCATATTTGATGTTACAGGCACAACAGATAATGAAGAAGCAGATAGATACACGTAGGAGGGACATCCATTTTGAAGTAGGTGAGAGGGTGTTCTTGAAACTGCGAACCTATAAACAGAAGACAGTAGCCCACAGGAGGAATGAGAAATTTGCTCCAAGGTATTTCGGGCCCTACGAGGTAGTAGAAAGGATTGGAGCTATGACATACCAGTTGAAGTTACCCCCGACTGCCACCATACACCCAGTATTTCATGTTTCCTAGTTGAGGAAAGCTCTAGGGGAGCATACAGTCAGTACAAAGTTACTGACAATAGTAATATAGGAGTTAGAAGTGATCTTAGAACCGCTGTAGCTAAAGGGAGTGAGATCAGATAAAAGGGGGAATAAAGAAGTGCTGATTAAATGGAGGGGCCTTCCAGACTTCAACGCCACTTGGGAATCGTATGAGAGGGTGAAGTATCACTTCCTTTCATTTTACTTTGAGGACAAGGTGATTCTTTGGAAGGGGGGTAATGTTAGGTTGGCTCGGCTGAACCGGTCCATCCAGGACCTATTTAGGTGTATCAATGGCGGGCCAAGGGTGGGGCGGAACCAGGAAAAGAGAGAGAAGAGGGGGGCAGCTGGTGTGGTGGGGCCCACACACTAATTAGTGATGGGTTGGAGGGAAAATTTGAAATTAAGGGCTGTTTAGGGAATTAGTAATTATCCTTTTGCTTTAATTACTTTTTTCTTGTTAGGGTTAGGGTTATCTTTGAATTGGAGAAGAGATTTGAGATCTAGGATATGTTCTTTTGGGCTCTAAGTTTTGCTAGAGATTTGAAGAATTGTTTCTTCCTCTCGAATTGAAAAAAACTTGTATCTTGTATTGTTTTTCTTGTTCATGGATTGAATAGAATAAGTTTCCTTGTGTTTTCTCTCCAATTTTCTAAACTTGTCTTTTGTTGTTTTCACCAATTATTGTTAGGTTTGCTTGCAAACTCAAGTATTTCCCCTTAGGGTTACTTGCAAACTAAAGTATTTCCAATCAGAAACATATGTTACACATGAGTTTACAAGTTCAGGAATCCATGTTGAATAATGATCATCCTAAAATAGGCAGTTGCATATGCTTAATTAAGCACCGCTAGTTAGACAAAAGCATAAAATCTGACTAATGATGCATTATTAGGTGCATAAATGTTTGGTTCTTTCAATATATGTTACTTAAAATTGTATCAGTCATTCTGATTAAATCTTTATATTCTTGGTATTGATTGTTCTTTTTGTTGCATGTATTTATCCATTTGCAGGATCTGGTATTGATTCTTTACACCTCAAGTACTTTAGCTTTGTTGGACGAGTGATTGCATTGGCCTTGATGCATAAAATTCAAATAGGTATCACATTTGATCGTGCATTCTTCTTGCAACTGTCTGGCAAAACCATCACCTTGGAAGATATTCAGGATGCGGATCCCTTTTTGTACATGAGCTGCAAAAAGATTTTGTCGATGGATGATGAAATTCTTGATTCAGATGTTTTAGGACTTACATTTATCAGAGAAATTGAAGCACATGATAGTCACAGAACTGTTGAGTTGTGCCCTGGAGGGATGAAAATTGTTGTAAATAGTTGGAACAGAAAGGAGTACGTCTCCCTTTTAATTCAAAATTGCTTTGTCACATCAATCGCTGAACAGATTCACCATTTTTCTCAAGGATTTAGTGATATATTTTCGGAAACAAAGTTGCACAAGCTTTTTTTTCGGAGTTTGGATGTTGAAGATTTTAACAAATTATTAGGTGGAAGTGATGATGCAATTAATGTGAACGACTGGAAGGCACATACTGAGTATGGTGGTTACAAGGAAAAAGATTGTCAAATCAGTTGGTTCTGGAAGGTAACCTCATTATTTTTCTTCAACACCACTATAGTGTTATATCTTTTACCTTTATCTGATGATGTTGCCAGGCTTATTATTGTAAGGTGGGATTACTTGGGGTAACTTTTATAACCGCCCTGATATTCAGAGTGAATTTTGAGATGGAAATTGCACGCCTTCATTTATTGGACTATTTAAGATAAATATATTTCCATCATCAGTGTCCGTTGACTGTGTTAGATTAGTGCTCCAAACAACAAAACTTTTTATCTGATAACGTAGTAAGGCTATGTTCAGATATGCTTGTGTCTTTTATTTTTTCTTTTAACTTCTTTCTGCACCTTGAATGACGTTTGGTTTCTAGTGGAAGATTGAATATACATAGAATAACCTAAGAACTAATTTCTATCAGTTATTCAAGGTTTTCTAGGAATCAAGAAAATAGTGTCAGTTGAATTTGATAATTTAATTTCATAAAAACGAACATCTGAGCTGGTCTCCATGCGAACAGGTTGGCCCTAAGAGGACATGCCAGATGCTAGTCTTTTTGCCAGCATATTCCTGTAACTTTGTCTTGTAATATAGGGTAGCCATTTTGTTGTTATGTTATGTAAATAACGCCGTGTCTAGTTTTGTTGTCACAAGGGATGAATGGTCGGTAGATCCAACGTTCCCTCATTTCCTTGTTCATATATTTATGCATGTTGCCTCGCACAGTACTTGTTATAGGACCATCTGCTGTTGTTTTACTAAGAAGATTTGTGTGCAGATTTTGCAAATGAGCCATCGTTAAACTAAAATTGTATCATCTACGCACCAAGGAATTAAAATTCTCCACTCTTCACTTTTAAATTCACCTACCTAGTATCTTGTTGGATTTGTTTCCATAGCCTGTTGACTTCAATGACAGCTGAGAATAGTCAGATAAGGACCTAAACAAGTATAGGTTTTTAGATAACAGGAGTTTTATTCTAGTTAGATTAGTTGAATGGAAGCTGTTGCTGTGTAAACCCTTGTAATTTAGTGTTAGAAAGTACTGAAAATAGCAATAAAATGTTAAGTCAACAAAAAGTCACAATCAAACGCACAGTTTAAGAACACAAATAAAGTACCTTTTGTAAGTAGTTCTTTTTAAATTAAAATTAGTTGGTATTCTAGAGAATTTTTTGAGGTAGAGAATGCTTAATGTGTTTTCAACTCTCAAAAGAATGAGAGAGGATTTTGATTACTCAGGTGTAAATGGACCTTAAACTAGTAGTTTGATCATCATACATAGAATAGAGTGCTAAATGATCATTAGTCAAGCATCCATGGAGACATTTGCGTGTCTCCATGAGTTAGGACTCACCCATTGTCTTTAGTCTAGAAGAAATTGGGACGTTCAACTTTCCGAATAGAGACAAAAAATTATTATGTTGTAGTTACTTTGCAAGGAAACAGAGAAGATTCGAGATGAGAAAAGAGAGAGGTTTATAGTGATTTGGTCTACAGATCTATGTTTACTCTCAAAACAAGAACAAAATAATATTCTACAATGATAATAGGAAAATGCAAGGGCAATGTTATAGGGTGTTCATAGGGCTTTCTTAAGAATGCCTATAGAAAAGCATAGAAAAGAGACACAATTATAACAAAGGAATTGCATTTGAGAGGAAAATTTAGAGAACAAGAGTTGTATTAGTTGAAAAGAAAAAAAAATTGAGAACTTAGTGACACTTAGATCTTCAACAAGGCTTTTGATGAAGGTTTCTTTAAGAGTTTAAGAAGTCTACTAAATGTAGTCACCAACCTTTGATTTAGACTTTAATGCTATTGATGAAAAATTGTAGAATATCCAAGTATTATTAGTTGAGTTGCATTGAAGGAGATGAGAAGAATGTTTGTTAGTCAATGGCAATCTTCTATTCTTGTTTCATAACCCCTTCCCTCCTAATATGATATTTATATTTGTTCCATAGTTAGTAATGATGAAAGACTAGTGTAACTATAATGAAGTGATAAGACGGTCTTATAGCACTTCAATGAGGAGCAGATGGCTATTATGCTCTTTGTTGTGTGATGCACTAATTTTGAGTTTTGAATCAATTTGTTTGATGTGACAACTTGATCGGACTCTATGATAATTGTCAAAATCTCAATCGTCCTTTGGCACTTGATCCCTCGGTCACGATGGAAATTCGTGGAAGGCTCACCTGGATCACGCCAATCTCCTTCTATTTTTGCGTGGCTGATTTAGGAAGGATTATATGAGGCTATTATGCATGTTTCTGTAGTTATTATTTTTTTATTAAGACATCTTGTATAGATCTATAAATAGGGATAATTTTGTATAATAAAAAAAAACATATTTTTCTCTCTCAAATTCTATGAATTCTAACATAGTATCAGGCCTCGATTAGTTGTTGCCAAACCTTTGTAAAAGGATATATGAAGGAAGCAGAGAAGCGGGCCTTCATTGCCGAAGAAAATCGGTTCCAACCTTCTGACGCTACAAGGCGCCGCCGCAAAAGATAGGTCTCCGACCGTTCAGGGCACAGACGCTATCGTAGACGAAGCCCTTGATTTCGCCAGACGCTGCCTCGATTCTACCAGACGCAACCGCAGACAGAGCCCCCAATTCCGCCAGTCGTTGCCGTAGAAGGAAGCCTTGATTCCGCCAAACACTACCACAGATAGGGCCCCTGATTCTACCAAATGCTGCTGCTGACGGAAGCCCTACAATCGGAGATGGAAGCGACGACAGAGTGGAGCTTTGCCAATAGATGCTTGGAAGAAGCCAAGAGAAGAAGTTCGCCCGAACGCTCGCTCGGACGATTCGATCAGAAGCTCCTTCTGATTTTCCTGTTCCGCTTAGATCCACAGAGACGCCCCTTTCGATTACCAGGGATTGGCCGACAACAACAAGAAATTTTAAATCAGATTTGACCTGATTAAGAAATGATATCAGCCTTTATTACTGACATAATCAAATCAACCTTTATTGCTGACATAATCAAATCAACCTTTATTGCCGACATAATCAAATCAGCCTTTATTGCTGATATAACCAAATCAGACTTTATTGCTGACATAATCAAATCAGACTTTATTGCTGATATAATCAAATCAACCTTTATTGTTGTTATAACATCACAATGTCCAAAGAAAATTCAGCCTTGAGCTTTGATCAAATAGAAGAATCTATGATACACCAAGAATGGGGTGACCTCCAAAGCATGCAAACTTCATATCACATAAATGAGAAGAACTATCTAAAGTGGCCTCAATTTGTGAAGACCTACTTAAAAGGGAATGAGAAATTACATCACCACCGGCCTTCATTGCCAGAATTATGAGGAATACAGGTTCCTTCCATCGGCTTTCATTGTCAGAATTTGGAGGACCATTGTGCATCCAAGAACAAGGAGAAATTGAGCGGGAGGGCTCCTCTTGTGTGCAACATCTAAAGTCGACAAAGCAGAAGCGAGCGCAGGACCTCCTGCGTGTGTCTCGAAAGAGCCGAGAGTTTCCTCTCCTGCGAGGGTAGGGACAAGCAAGAGTGCAAGACCTGCACTCCCTCTCACAATCAATCCAGAGGGATCAGAGGCCTTGCGTGCACCGTTCTGGTCGATCGAACATGAGTCTGTTCAGGTGGAGTCAGATGACTTGGGAAGGAGGAGATCTGTGTGTTGAGTGCTGAGTCGCTTGAGACGTATGTTTCTGCTCTTGTCCTTGAAGCTCATCGCAACTGTTGCTCCTTCATTGCCGACATTCACTTGAGAATTGAGAGAGATTGACCCGAAGGATAATGAATCCATTTTTTCGATTGTCCCACCACCGACATTTATTGCCATTTCTGATACCTTGAGGACTACCATTCAAAATAGCCTTCATTGCTACCCTGTACCTTGCATGCTTGATTGATATAGCCTTCATCGCTATTATTTTCTGTTATCACAATGTTTGAAGCTAATTCCTCCCAATGTTTTGACCAAATTGAGGGCTCTATGGTGCACCAAGGGACTTATTAGCTCTACCTCTTCGCAACTAATTTCCAAATTGGGAATGATAGATCTATATTCTCTAGCTTGAGGGGGAGTGTCAAAATCTCAGTCATCCCTTGGCACTTGATCCCACGGTAAGGATGGGAATCCGTGGGAGCCTTGCGTGGATCACACAAATCTCCTTCTATATTTAGGTGGCTGATTTAGGAAGGATTATATTGAGGCTATTATGCATGATTATGTAGTTATTGTTTCTTTATTAAGACATATTGTATGTATCTATAAATAGGGTTAATTTTGTATCATAAAAAAGAGTATATTTTCCCTCTCAAATTCTGTGCATTCTAAGATTAATCAATGATGGAGATGTTTTAGGATGGAACTGAGAACGAAGAATGAATATTTATAGAATTTTAACATTTGGAGGTACTTTGTGTAATACCACTAAAGCAGTTTATGATAGAGACATGGATACGGTGACACGAACACGACATGAAATGGACACGAGACATGTAAATTATTGAAAATATAGGGCATCGATACTGGTTTGACACATTATTATATATTTTTTATCTTAAAAATAATATATAGAAATTTAATAAGCATAACATTAAAAATAATTAAGAAATAATAAGTCATTTAACTAAGATCTGTACTTGAAATAATTAATATAAGGATGTTGAGACTTGCACAAGGATGTTATGTCGATGATTTGAAATGAATGTTTTGGTGGCTAAATTGAAGAAGGATGTTGTTGGTTTTATTTCTAAATGTGAAGCCTGTCAACAAGTTTTAAAATTGCGCAATTGGGTTATTGAGGCATTTTTTATTCGTGAGGCGAGTCGTAAGCCTCAAGATGTTTTGAAGTGTAAGCCTCAAAATCTAAAAACTGCATAAAACAAAATAAAGATTTAAAAGTGATTTTTAATATAATAACTAAATAATATGTCAATTGAACTATGATGTAACAAATTGACATAAATATGAAATAATAAATTGCATAAGATATATAGTGGTAGGTGATAAATTACGTGA